TTTCAGACACTTCATAGCAGAAACATCATGTGAAAAGTTGGACCCCATGTGACTGAACTGGCGTTTTATAAATTCTGATGCCTTTTTTTTAAACCATCACAGTTTAAATTTTAAACACACCTAAATAAAAGTTTAATTGCTTTTCTATTTTCTGCTTCAACATAAGTGTAAGCGCAGGCTGAGGCTGTTTCCTTTAGATGCCACCATGTGATTTTCTGTAACATCTCTAGATCTTTGTAGACTAGAAAAAGTTTTTTCTATTAAAATCCACAAAAACATGAATTTTTATTAGTTTATTAATTAAACTGACCTAATGTGGTGCTTTAATAAAAACTGTACAGATCAAAATTAAAATTTTCTTTTGGCTTTTCCCTTTTTGAGAGTTATCCATGTCYCTCTGTCCTCACTAACTCCATGTCCTCTCTACATCCATTTATTTCCTCTGTATTTTTTAGGCAGCTGCATCTCTAGCATCAATGTACCCACTGTGGCTCCTCTGCATGTCCAAACCATTTCAGTTCGAGTTTAAAAGATTGTATTTGTGGTGCTCTTTATTTGCATAAAAATCTCACTGCTGCTTAAATAACGTTTACAGGGGATCAAAAGATTCATTAAAACACTGTTTATATTATTAAATGCACACTACAAATCAGTTTTCTTTAATAAAAAATGTATCAGTCCTCCTCCGACAACCGTTCCTCTGATGATATTTATAAAAATGCTTTTACTCTTTTGAAGCTGAAAAAAGAGTCAGACAAATCAGAATAATAAACAGATTATGCTTTAAAATGTGCATAAAAGCATAAAAATGTCTGATCAAACTGTGTTTCAAGCAAGAGCACTTAGCTTAAATATTACGGCACAGAGATAAAATCAAATAACCTCTAAACAAGCCCTGTTTATTACAAATATTGTTACTCCTCTGACATCCCGCTCGTTTTGAGAAGTTCCACAGGATTTAGCAAAAAAAAAAAAAAAAACCCACTTAAAACGAATAAGTATTTTTATGTGTATGGTGGTAACAAAAGTGTAATCATCTAGATTTCTGCAAACGCTGAAATGCTTCTGGACAACTGAGGCAAGAGAATTGATTTATTTAGGGAAGACTGACCTTAAATCATAAAATAATATTGAGGATAATACTGAATGAATGAAGTGCATAAGTTGATCAGTGCTGTCAAGTCAATTTATTTTAAAGGAGTATTATTCAAAATCGAGTTTTTTGWGCTTTATATCATGTTTTAATGTCAATCCCTCATCAAAAACACACCCAGAGTGTTGATTTGACTCATTCAYGCATGTTTGAGAARTCCTTGAATCTCCTGTGGAAGCCATTTGGRGCTGCCTAAACACTTGCTGGTACAAAGCACCGCTTTTCTAYAGCTCCTCCCTGGAGCTCAGTCTGCAGCCGAGCTCCCGCTCCGCAGAGCAACCCWCCCCCAAAGCTTTGTTGTGAAGATGTGCTGAAGTGGGAGTGTYAGAAGTGGTAGCAGGTTTTTAAAGAGACAGAGGGAAATTTCAAAATGTTTTTGATATACTACGATCTCCATCTTCTGCCACTTATCYGTAGTCRGGTTGCAGAGGCAACAGGTCCAGGAGAGAAACCCAGAAATCCCTCTCMCCAGTGTAGGGTACCACACTTTCCAGCTCATCCTGGGGGACCCAGAGGCGTTCCCARGCCAGAGAGGATACATAATCCTTCCAGCAAGTTCTGGGTCTTCCTCAGTGCCTCCTACCAGTGGGACGYGCCCAGAACACCTCTAAAGGCAGGTGGGGGTTGGAATGTAGACAGGCAAATAAATTGAGAGCTTTGTCTTTCARCTCAGCGCTTTCTTCAAATTTGACTGAAGCAGCTCTCTCATTGCTGAGGATGAGGCCCTGTTGACCCATCTCCCGCTCCATCTTATGTGAACAAGACACCCAGATACATACTCCTCCACTTGAGGCAGAGACTTACCCCCGACCTGGAGGGGGCATTCCACCCTTCTCTGGTCAAGAACCATGGCCTCTGACTTGGAAGAACCGACTCTCATCCTAGTTGCTTCACACTCAGCAGTGAAACTGCAGTGCATKCTGAAAGTCTTGGCTCGAAGATGCCAACAGAACTACATAACCCACATTAAGCAGAGACGAGACCCTGTGGTTCCCAAACCAGACACCCTCCTCTCCATAACTGCCTGCACCTTGAGATGTTGTCCATAAACACTACAAACAGGATCAGAGACATTGGACAGCCCTGGTGGAGTCCAACCCACATGGAGGAACATGGTCAAAAGACTTCTCCAGGTCCACAAAACGCATGTAGACCAGAGAGGTAAACCCCCACAGTCCCCTTTGCAAATCTGCAAGGGTTAAGATCTAGCCTACTGCTCCACGACCAGGAGGAAARCTCCTTATGAAYCTGAGGTTTGGTCATCGACCTGATCCAATTCACCACCAGGTGGTGATCAGTTGACAGCTCTGTCCCTCTTATCACCTGTGTGTCCAAGACATAGGGCTGCAGATTAGATGACAAGATTACAAAATTGATCATTGACCTTTGCCCTAAGGTGGCCTGGTACACTTATGGACCACACTATGCTCAAACATGGTGTTTGTTTCAGACAACTCATGCTTAGCACAGAAGTCCAATAACAGAACACCATTCGGGTTCAGATGAGAAAGGCTGTTCCAATCATCCCCCTTCCAGATCATTGCCCTGCTTCATCTTCATCACCATCATCCATCTCAGCTCCTCACTGGGAGGGAGGAGGGGTGGGTGCAATTAGTCTACAGCRTAATAAATAGTGTATAATGTGTGTTTACTTTGACCTTCTCTTTTGATTTTTGTCTTGACTTGTTTTTATGATTATGTAAAATGTGCAATATCTCCATTTGACTGGTACATTGCTTCCCTTATTTTAATCTGTATTGTACTGATGCTGCTGGAAACGTAATTTCCCTGAGGGAACCCTCCCACACTGTAAAAAATGAAATGTTGGATTTACTTAACCATGTTATGTGACCCTTTTCCACTTAACTGAGTTGAGTAAATTCAAAGCAATATACCAGTTTTTTAGCCAAAGAACATGAGTATGTTGCTTTGAATTTACTCAACTCAGTTATGTGGAACCAGGTCACATAACATGGTTAAGTAAATCCAACATTTCATTTTTAGAGTGCAAAAGGGATCAATAAAGTTTAATCGAATCGAATCTAATCGAATCTAATCTAATCTAATCTAATCTAATCTAATCTAATCTAATCTAATCTAATCTAATCTAATCTAATCTAATCTAATC